AAAATATACAAAAGAACGTGAGTTATAGCGGTCTGAACATACCCTCCTCGAAAAAATAGACGCTCACTTCCTCCACGATTCCGGCTGATTGACGTATCTGAAATAAAAAAAAAATTAAATTCGTTTCAATTTAAAAGCTTAAATGCACTGAATGAACTATACACAATTGAAAATATCAAAAATTAGACTTTTGGTAGACCTCTGAAGAAAAAGTTTCAAATTTCATTGTTTTTTTTTTTATGTTTTTGCTATAAAAAATAAAAATATCTTGAATTTTGGAATGATCGTAGTTCATTTGGGGTGTACATTTGTGCTCAGCCTACCCTATAAATTTGAAATAATTCGGTCACACCGTTCTTGAGATATGGTGGAGGAAAGTTTGAAAAACACAGTTTTGAGAAAAACGAGTTTTAAGTTTAGAGTCCGATTAAAACAATAGAAATCTTAACTTAGCACGTGGAACAGCTGTTCTTCTAACACCTGCTTCTTTATAACGACTTCGCATTTTAAAAAATCACTTTACCACCGTATTCTAGACATGTTAAGGAAGCAATTTATGAAAAAAAAAAATATTATTTTGATTTTTTGAACCCATCACATGGGTGAATCTTCTTAAAAGCGGTATTCACTTCGTAACTTTCCACAATACGCAAACTAACTGCGTTTTTAGTGAGATTTGAGGCTGTAGATAATACCTAATTAACTGGTTGTAGCATACAAATTGTTTTGTGAAATTGCTCCCCTAGGGTGCCCTTCTCCTGGATTATTTGCGTGAGCTAGAGGTGTAGGATTAACAAAAGGACTAGACTTATCCATGTTCCTAATATGGCTTTATTAAGAATTTAAACTTAAACGTTTAACAGATTAGATGATAATAATATATATGGGAGAATCTACGATGACAAAACACACAATATAAGTAATACCGAAAAAACGTAACTCGGACCACTATCAATATCTAATCCTCCTAATCTCAATTCCAATAATATCACAAGTCCTAATATTAAATATTCAATCCTACCTTGATCCTAACGCCGATCTAATCATAAGGGAGTTGCGTCTTTACTCGAGTGCCATGGTATGCACCTTGACCTTAATGGCTATATCTTCGGTATAACCTCTGTTGGCTGTCACTTCACAATCGTATCACACTCTCTAACATTCCCCAAATTGCCAACTCACTTACTGAAACTTCTGATATTTAAAAGCTATCTAATTTGCATCTTATATTCACGTTTCATTTCTTGGTTTTTGGTTGGAAAAGAGTTGCCATTAATCCTCGCCCCAAAAGAACCCAAAGGACATGTTAATGAAAAGACGCGTGAGCCCGTCACAGTTTTAAAAGGCAAAAACAAACTTGATTCCTCTAAAATTTTTTAAAGAGGTATGTGTGTGTGGGTGGGTGGGGGTGGGTTTAAGCATTTCTATGTCTATTAGGAATACAATATTTGTCTCTGTTTTCTCCAATTTGTTGTCCCATCAGCAAAGCTGATCTTCAACCAAACAAATAATCGTCGCAGCTTAACAATGACTTTGATTACTCACGAGAAGTTCTTTAGCGTCCTTAAAGCATCTGAGCTTTAGAGAGTTCCTTACCGCGATTAATGTTATTTTTCAGACCCATGTTTGAGTACATGAGAACACACACACTTACTCTAACTATTGATAGATTCTAGCCAGTACACTTTTCTCCTTTGTATTTTAAAGTTTGCTCTTCTTCAGTCATTTTGCAAAATAATAAAATAATCCTTCTTCCTAACGTTAAAAATGTCTTTATCTTCATAATCGTGAAATATATATGTGTATTATATGTAAAGTTTATAAATACTCATTAATTTAATTTTTTAATTCGAAAATTTTTTATTCCCATGAAAATAAAATCTTCCTCTAATATTACTGCATATATGAATTTGTTTTTCTTGATTTTTTCCATTTTCCTAGTGGATTTCCAAGTTTTTAGAAGTTGGCAAAGAAGTGAACAATTATTTTACCAACTAATACTTAACATTAAAGAAAATTAAAGTTTTGTTAACGCCTGTTAATTTCAATGTAATTAACAAGGAAAGAAATACCTGTTAGGAAATATTTTTCTTCGAAGCAAAGAAATTAAGCAAAATCATTAAATTTAAAAATTCACCGACTTGTTGATAAACATGATAGATACTATACTGTTGGAATTAATTGGGACAAGCATTTTTTTCTTGTTTGAGTTGGTATTTGATTACCAGTTATACTCCGAACCACCTCGAACCGGTTATATCTACCCATAAGTAATGTGATGGATAGATCTTGACTATAATTTACTTGTTTGATTATTTTTAGTGCATTAGTGGTTCAGTTTTGAGCCTTTCAGTGTGGTAGCTGGGGGTTATAATTTTGGGTTCCACGTAACACGTATTACTTTTTCTTGTTCAGAGAGATGGATATTATTCCGAGGAAGGGTTTTAAAATAATCGCTCTTAATGAACATACTTCTATGACTGTCACAGATATAGCTACGGTAATTTGTGTGAGCAAATCAAGTGTTTCAAGAATTTTAAGAATATTTAAAGATTCCTGATCATATCGTCACCAAAACAAAAGGAAAATGTGAGCTTAAACAGAAACCTTCTCCGAGAACTGATAAAATTCTAACAAGAAATAGCAAAATGAATCAAAGAAAAGCGGAGATCTTCGAAGGGATTTATAGGATTACGACGGTAAAGTATACTGAAGTGTACCTCCACTGTACAGAACAGGGTTCTGGAACTTAGCCGTAAGGTATAAAGACTGAGGAAAAAGCAATTTTTAACTCAGAAAACGGTGAAAAGACGTTTAGCGTAGGCCAAACATACTGATTCTGGACTGTTAACGACTAGAAGAAGGTGATTTTTAATGATGAAATGCATTTATTTGCGCAGGGATACAAATGAAGTGCACTTAGACGAAGTGAAGTTGAAACTCTGCTGCCAGATTATATCCAACAGATAGTAAAACACCCTACTAAGCAGATGTTTTGGGGTTTGGCATGGAAGCTTAGTTCTTTTTAAAAGCATGATGAATTATGTCAAATACACAGAAATATTACGCAGTAGAATTGTTCCATCCATGGAAACATTTAACGGAACATTTCAAAATGATTTGACTTTCTTGTCACAATTCGATATTGGTCTAGACTTTTATACGATAAAATAAAATAAAAGTGCTCAATTGGCTTGGTAATTCAACAGACATAAGTTCTATTGATGATTTATGACATATTCTCAAAAATTGTTTAGCTAAGATGAGTGCCACGATAAAAGAACAAATAATAAGTGCTTAAGAAGATTAATAAGAAGGTCCCACGATGATGAAGTTGGGAGCACATGTGAGCTGCACTAGTGGAGTCAATATCAAGACGAGTTCAAGAGGTCATTTGTGCTACCGAAGGACATACTTCGTACCAACACAGAGCTTTTTCTGTTTAGTTATAGTATGTTATTAAAAGCTAGGGTTTTAGAAAAAATCATTTCTTACCATTTGTCCCAATTAATTCGAATAGTACAGTATATACGGAATTTTTTCTAATGAGAAGAGGGAACAAAATATTTTTGATTATCAAAATATGTTTTTTTGTGGAATTAAGATTTAAGGATTTAGTATAAATCGTATGCTTTATATAAATTTAATTTTTGAAAGCAGCTTGCATTTTTAAGGATTTTTGGTATTTACGTATAATTGCAACCTATTGGTAAGACATTATATGAAACAAGCACTTGAATGCCAATTCAGTGAATACGACACATGCGTAATCGGGGGTCGCCAATTTGACGAGTTATTTTGAACGTTAGTGATTGTTGCCATAATACGTAAGTACTGATTTTCTTAAAACTAAATACTGAAGTAACTCCACCGATTTCAGTAATTTCGGCTAATTAGTTCGTGGAAAAGGATAAAATATTTGAAATATATAAATCGATAGAAATATAAATTAAATATTTAAAAAAATACAAAAAGAAAATGGAAAAGCCTTTTATTTCAGAGAGTTATTTTTCTTTTCACGTAATCCTGCACCAATTTCTGGTTTGAAATTTCTCTCATACTGAAAACTGAAAGTTTTTTCTTGGAATGCGGTGCACACAGTTTCCAAAAAAATGTTCTTTGGGTGAGAAAAAGTAGAACACAAATTAAGTAGAGAACACATAGATACAATGCGAATACCCATTAAAATTTTATGATGCTTTCTGCTCATGGATGTTTTCATGTCCTGATAAAGAGTATCGGGATATTGTGTGAACTCACTAAGACACACTGATAACTTTTTTTAAAATATCTAATATATCATACCAAGAAGTGGGGTCTCAAAAGCAATCAGTAAAAATCATTGACATTTCAACTTCTACATTGCGGAAAAAATCAATTATTAAGTGGAAGAAAATAAAAATCCAAAACAAAATAGTTATGTAAATACTTTTTATACTTTGTTTTGTTTTTTCTTTATTCCTTCGGAGAAAAGCCTTTTTTTGTATTACAAAGGCGGACAGCAATAGATTTTTCTTAAAATTTTCCCTCTTAGTTTAAAAAAAATATTAAAATGCTGTAATGTTTTTTATTTAATAGCAAAGACCAACCAAAGCATTTGATAAATATTTCTCTTAAATTATCATTAGTTATATTTGCACGTTAACAGTAAAAATACCAAGAAATAAATAAAATTAACTTTCTTTTGCTTTTTCAATTCTTCAAGCTGTTTCCTTTTAGTGATATATATATATATATCACTAAAGGAATCTTTTTTGGAAACGAGAGAAATCTTGTATCTTAAAGGCTATCTTGTTCAAATTTTCAGTCGTTAATAAAATACTTTCTATTGATCCATTCAAGTTTAAATACATTTTTTAAAACTTGTGTAGTGGTTAACGCTTGATGTCAATATAGGTTTTTCAAATATTAATTCATTGATTAAATTAAAAAAATGAATAAATAGTAACAAACAAAATTTTAGTCCAACAGCGTGTATAGAAAGGAAAATCGTTCATCATGTCCTTGTAGTGCAATGGTAGCGTGTTGGACTTCTAATCCAATGGTCGTGGGTTCGCGAATCCCACCTAAGTTGGCCTAATTTCTAAGCATGTGTTTTTTTTATTAGAATAATTAAATTTTATGAATGTTGTTGTGTCCAGTGTTTTTTACTGGTATACATACGAAAGATGTGAGATGGATGAACAGAAACATAACACATCACAGAAGGATACAGATTTTATTACAAACGATGATCCCAGCAAAGTACAGAAGAGGTACGCTGCTTTCATTTCGAGACGCGAATCCATTGCAGGCGAAAATCCGATTTCTTTTCCCGAAGATACATCCATGCCTTACTCGGGATTCAAACCCGAACCCACTGAATTACAAGCCGAGTGTCATAACCACCATTCTGGGAGGGGTGGCACATTTGATAAATGAATAAATAGTATGAAGCAAAAAAAAATAATCCAACACCCTATATAGAAAGGAAAATGGAAAATTGCGAGAAAAATCTCTTTCTCTATTTTGTCACTTAATATTGTGATTCTGTCAAATGTATATACATATTTATATTAACTGTAACTATTTAATAAAAAATAACTAAAATAAATTTATCCTTTGTTGACTTGAGTAGGAATTGACTTAACTTTTTTTTTATATATTTCTTGTTTTATACTTCCTGTTATTTTTGAGACGAAGCCCCTTCAAAATCCAAGGAACCAATGATGTATGTTAGGTCTGATGTTTGTTCTGAAGAGTTCTATAAGGGTATATGTGCATATATATATATATATATATATATATATATATATATAGATAGATAGATTATATATATATGATTTAAACAAGCTAAATTATTTTTCATTCAAAAATAAAATGGTCATTTACATTTATTCCAGGATTATGAATGTAAGGTGTTTCAGAAGAGTAAGTAAATTTTTTCAAATCAAAAAATTTAAAAAATCAACGATTTATTTTCATATTTATTTATATGAATATGTTTTTTTATTTTCATTTTTACTTATATTATCATTTAATATTTCAAACATAGAAGATTTTTTAAAATGAATGCATTTAAGAAGAACATAAGTCAATATTTAACATATATTGAATCATCCCAAAAAATGATTTTGTATTATTTGTGTTGTAAAAGAACTCGAGCCTCTAACAAAAAACACTTATTTCTTGTTTCAAATGTTTTCTTTTCATTTAGAACTCTATCAAGGGATGTTATGCGCAAGGCTATTTGCTTTCTACAATCACTGTGATTATTCTTTGATAAAAAGTTTGATTATCTGATTTCCTGTTTTAGTGCATATATATTTTAATTATTAACATAAAATAAACCATCAGATCCTGTAAAGTGTGTTCAATGCAATAGTAAAAATTCTCCTTTGAAATGCTGTTTTCTAATAAAAACTGAAACATGTACTTTTTAATCAATTCATATCTCATTTAATTTAAAGAATAATTTGTGTTTTAAAAATGTATGAAATTTATCGTAGGATAATCAAGTGTATATGTGAGAATCAAATTAAATTGCTCACAGAAGTTTATATTTGAAATTGAAATGAATTTATAACACAAAGACAAGACAGTATTTCGAATGCATTAATAAATTACTTTAGAAATTACTATGAAATGAAATTAATACATTTAAAGCAATTTTAGAATGTATTCAAATACTGATTTTCAGAACACAAAGTTGTTTGTGTAGTTTGACAGAAATATTAAAAAGACATTTTAGCGAATCATTTTCATTGAACTTAATATTCATAAGCTTTTGTTAAAATTACAAAATGGAATCCATTTGCGTCGCTTCAGATGAAGTGTTGTTAATGTTTTTTGTTAATGGACCCTTTTTTGCGGGAATCAAAGTACAGAATCAAAGTCATGAGTCTCTAGTCGAATGAGTTCCTCCCCCATGCATATGAATATCTTATAAAGGTATAAATAAAGATATGAGATTGAAATCATTTGTATTTTTAATAATAAGCATTAGAAATATTAAAAAGATCACAAAATAGAAAAATGTTTGTTTCTCCTCCTTTTGGCTTTCGAAAGAATAATATGCAATATATATATATATATATAATGTAAATGTAAGAAAAATGTTAAGGTATCCGACTACGTTCGGAACCGTGATTTTAAAAATCGCATAAATGGATAATTTTCATGATATTTAGTGTCACTTAAATTAGAATACATGTATAAAATTGCTTTAAGAACATTTTGACAAAAAAATTATTTAAATACAATATTTCGACAAAAAATTAACTTAGAATAACCTTTTTTCAAAATGTTCTATTATAATAATATTTTTTATGTATATAGCTCAGACCTCTGTACAGAGGCTCAACTATGACTTTTGAAAAATTCACATTATTTTCAGAGTTACAACCCATTGAAATAATTATCGGCGCTTTTTTCTTAAAATTTCTCCCCTCTGTTGTCGTAAAACATGGATAATACCACTTCTAAGTTATATATTTCAAAAATTCCAGTCCAACCTCTGTACAGAGGTCTGAGCTATGTACAGACATAATATTATTATAATAGAAGCATTTTTCACTAAAGGAGAATATTTTGAAAATGGGTCATTCTATGTTACTTTTTTGTCAAAATATTGTACTTAATAGTTTTTTACTGTAATAATATCCTTAAAACAATTTTATATACATTTTCTAATCTAAGTGACACTAAATATCATAAATATTATCCATTTGTACGCTTTTGCAAAATAACGGTTCTGAACGTAGTCGGATACCTTAATACGTTAATGTTAATGCGTTAATGTAAAAGTAAAAAGTTGTTAGTGTTCACTAGTTAGTTAAAAATGAACTAGAAGTTTCTTAATTGAGCTTCTTATATTCTTTTGCTATGGATATTTTAGTAAATAGTCATTTCTTTAGAAGTTTCTTTTACCATAATAATAATAATTGGATTCAGCATTAGATATTATATAGATATTTCTGCTTATGTATATACATTCACTAATCACAATAACTGCATTCAGACAGCAAATCTTTGTTTGCATGGGCAGTTTTAAGTAACGTTTGGTGGTGTACTAGCCGTTAACCGCCATCTACGATAGGTATTTCATGACGCTTATGACTGAATATTGATATCCAAGTCCTAATTCTTAGCTTTCCATTTATTGAAAAACACGCACGTAGCTCTCCCTTTTTGATTTTTAAAAAGCACAGGATTTGAATTTCTAAAACGTAAGAGTTTCCATTACGCCCTCGTAAACCCCCTCCCAAGTCGATTTCCACAACACCAGTGCTTAGCGCGCGCGGATCTATACTCACAATAAAGATGCTTGCAAGCGAGTGAATATTAACGACGTACTATTTAACTACACACACAAGGGCTTTCGCCATATAATATCATTATCATAAAATAAATACTTTTCATCGTAATCTTTTGAACAAGATAATTCGTATTAAAATTAAATGTTCTTCAGTATTTACAGTGAATCTCTTAAACAAGGATAACGTCAGAATTAATTTCAAACCATTTCAATATTTTAAATTTCTATGATAGTGGTTGCTTCTTTTTGGGTTGCTTGTAGATATAATTTTTCTTTACGATATAAACAGTAAAAGTTTCTTAGTATATGAAATCACGAAATCTTTTTTTTTTACATTTTGATGAAAGGATTGAGCTGTTTTTGTGTGTATTGCACTGAAACAGAGCACACATAAACGTACAACTGTTGCAGAAGAAATGTCAGGAAAAAAAAAAAAAAAAAAAAAAGTAAATGAAACATCATTTTTTTACTTCAATTCTGTTTCTCTTAAAGTTGTAGTAACTTGGATCACACACACACACTTCACAAATTACTTATTTCTTTATTTATCTAATTAATATATACTGGTCTATTACTGGTTATGACTTTTATCAAGAAAAGCTTTGTGAATATTCACTTAATATTTGTCCCTCTTTAGACATTAAGGGACTGAAGATGGGACAAAATGACAATGTATAATTTAGGATAAGGTAATTTGGGGGAAGACGCCAGTTTGTTAATAGGAATTTTTTGCGTCGATAGATGGCAATTTTCAGCCACTTGTGTGAAGAGTCTGGTCTGACATTGAGTATGGCTTGTGAATTTATCTGAATTAATTGGCCTTATTTTTCGATCTTGTGAGCATTTAAAGTGTTGAGTACAACTTTTATAATATTCCGTTCCTCATATTTAAAGTTTATAAACGTACTTGTTATTTTAAATAAGATATTAGCAATATAAGTGAGTTACGCATAATGTTACACATACGATGCATATGGAAACGGCCATAACACTGCAACAGTAAGAAAATAAACATGTGTAGCATTTGCCCCCTATACTTAGGGAAAGACGCCACATGGTTCAGAAATAAATGAAATGAACTTTCAATTTTTTTCCCATTCTATAACACTGTATATTATAATATAAAATATATATCTATAATTAAAAGTTAGGCTATGAGGATGACACAGGGGATCTCTATAAGACGAGGATGTGCAGGGTTAAAGTCGATTAATACTTCAGCCTGCTGTGGACCATTCTGCTGGAAAATTCGATTTTAGCAAACTATAATTATGAAAGAATTTAATTTTTTTTTGTTTTTCTATAGTTATTGTTATTTCACATTTAATTTAGCAATGTTTGTCTTATTTTTTTTATTTACTGTGGTGTTGTTGCATATTACTCCATGACTGATGGCATCTTCCCCATATATGTGGGGGAGATGCCACAACTAAATAAATTTCTTTAACATTAAATTTCTTATTTATTTTTATACTAAGAAAAGAATTAACTTGTATACATAACCGATTAAATATTGAAAAATAAAGTGTATTTTTTTCATAGTCTTGTTATTTCAATTTTCAATGTACTAATCGAAAAATCCTCAAATGTGGCAACTTTTCCCGATTTACCAAATATCAAATGAGCAGATTTGTCAATTGTTAGATAAATTTGTTATTATAACACAATACACGTTTAAATTTATTTATTTTGTTTTAAATGAGAATAAAAGCGTTTACATCGATAACTTAAAACTCGATTTCATATTACAGTTCCAACGAAAAGAAGAAACAAGTCTT